TATAACCGAGTTAGAAATTTTTTAATCCGATTAAATCGGGTTTATTATAACCGGTTGCGGTGTCGTAACCATGGGAGAGACTTGGCGTCAAATTAGCTCAGAGTTACAAGCATAGGTTATGTGGAATGGATGTTTATAAAGGATTCGGATTTAATGATCATGGGCTATTAAGGAATGTAATTTAATTGGTAGGTAAGGTAAAAATACGTGATTACATCATTTATTATGCAACATGCCAGATTTTTTCGAACTGTCTCGATTGTTTCTTTATCATATTTATACATTTAAATTGATCGTGGTCTGAAACAGGATCTGTGGTCTCAAACCAATATCCGTGGTCACGAACCATTATACGCGGTCTCAAACCAAGATTTGTGGTTCAAATCCAGACCTCCCATGCATAGCACTTCATAACGAAATACATGGAAAATTTAATTTTGGTTATATACAATACATTTTTTAACATAGTTTAAGCTTATATCATTCCATTATGGTAAGTGTTACACGCGAAAAAATCTTTTTTCCAAAATATCCAAGAAAGTTGATACAATTCGAAGAAATCTGAATTTGAATTAGAGTGGGTGGAATATGTGAATTATTGCGTGTCCTATATGTGCATATATTTCGCAGAATGCAAGTGAATATTTTAAAAGCTTTTTTTTTTTTAAAAAAAAGTGATGTTATGGCAAAACCAGTTTCAATTGATTATAATAACGTAAAATTGAGTTATTTTATAGTTCTATAGTAAATAACAAATAAAGGTGACACATTCGAATTTACAGCTGTTTTCATTATTTTTGGGACATCTGAAAAATTTTTTGACGGCCGAATCGATAAGTTACCGATAAGTTACTGACGTCGGTCAATATCAAAAACTTGTAGATTCGGTTATCAACAATTCAACAATTGCGCGTAGGATCGATTTTCCGTTCACGTGGTTTTCCGAAGTCATTAAAAATCAGGATCTGGTGTACCATAAAAAATTTCAAACCAGACGTTCGCTTTGCAAAAATTGCATTTAGCCCCTTCTAGCTCAAGCTTGTACCCAAACCCAAACATAAATTGATTTTTTTGTTCGAAGACTATTGACATCAGAAAATTATGTGAACGGAAAATCGATACTACGCCCTTATAAAATTATTTTTTTTATGATTTATTTATAAGATGGAATCAAATAATCAATATAACCCACTCAATGATACAGTTAATACAGTTATAAGTGGATTACTTCCAGGATTGATTGTTGGTTTATTTAATGGATTTGAAAGCGCAAAAAGAAGGGGTTTTTCTTCACCAATAAATGTATTTGATGATATTATCATATTTTACTCAATCATCATATATCCTTTGGTTTCTGGACTTCAATGGTATAGTAACTATTCTAATTTTGGAAATCTTTTAATCATTATATCTATTGCTGCTTCTATTAGAATAGGAACTTTATATTTTAATGCCTTCATAAATATGCAGCGGGATATAGAATATCATTATAAAAAATCTGTAATTTATTTTAGTATCTTTCTTTTATGCTTTATTTCATTAAATAGTTATAATCATATTAGTCAATTCTGTATTGATAATTTCACTCTTGACAATTGTAGATTTTTGAGAACAATAACTTCTTCAATCTATGGAATATGTGGCATGTTAAGTTTATTTATTAGCATTTATCATTATTATCATGTAAAATTTACGGCAATTCATAAATGGTTTAAAGAAATTTGTAAACGTTACCCTATTATTTATTATTTTTTGATTTTTTTTAATCATTTTATGATTTTTATATTAATGATTTATCCACCTATTATAGTTGGATACTTACTTAGTACCAATTCCACTACTACTAAAATTTCTTTTTCAATTTGCAGTATATCTTTTAGTCGTTTAGTTGCACATTTTGGCGAGGCTCCTGAAAATATTAATACTGTAATTTCTTATTATCTGAATTATCATGAAGGTCTTAAAATAGATCCTACAAAAGTTCAAAGAAATGAAATATTTGATGATGTACTCAAAAATTTAAAGAAAGTAAAAGATTTATTATAGAATAGCTACAAATTATAATATATAGAAGAGTTTAATTCATCCATTAACTATTTATAGATTCTTTCTAAATTTTGTTATGTTTAAATTTTAATTTAGAATTTTTTCTTAAAATTTATAGTTTGTCTATTTCATATGCACAATATATATATTATTTATCAAATTTACAAATTACAGTATAAAGTAGTGTGGGTGTGTTGCTTATTAATTCCTGTTAATTCTGAATCGACATGTATTATTTATGAATCAATGAATAACGCATGTCGTTTTGGAATTGGTGGGTTTTACAGATTAATTAAATTAATAATTGACATAAATTGAAAAATAACGTGGAATATTTATATTTACATGTGTCATTCATAAATTAAGAAATGACTTATGTCGGTATCCATTTATTGGTTAATAAAAAAAATTTTTTATGCCAAAAAAAAAAAAAAATAAATAAATAAATAAATAAATAAATAAATAAATAAAAGATGAATTTTTTTAAAAAAAAAAAAGAATTAAAAAAATAAAATAAAAAATATTCGTGTATATTAGAAATTTTTTGTATACACAACCACATTTTCTTGAACATAATGGATTTTTGTTGCAATAGCATAGTACTGCAAATTCTTTTTCGATCCCGTGTTCGGTTGCTTAATGAATTGCGCAAAATATTTTATAAAAATTTTCAATATAGTGAACTTGCCCCTATCTATCCTATTCAAGAATGTGCAGCTCTTCTGCTGTATCGACACGAAGAATTTCAAAAGTATTAGCAACCTATTATTTGAAAGGTTTGCTACACTAGAAGTTTTAAATTAATATTATTAGACATAGTAATTTCCATCCATTAAATTTTTGTTGAAAGTTTCTAGTATTCGTCAAAGGCCTCAAGAGTCATGAAACTATATTCTTACGAGTGTTACGTGATCGATTCAGTATAATGAAAAAAAAAAGTCGATTCAAAGTATGACGAGTAGAAATAACATACGATACTGAAATAACTATATAATGTCACGGGCAAAGAAGGATCTTCGAAATTGGCGCAGTACAACTCGTGATGAAAGGAATCTAGACGATTGAGGCTTATCGGCCGAATAAAAATAAGAGAACAGGTTTATAAGGTAATGTAAAGCTTAGATAAATAAGAAATCATCAGCCGAAAGCAGCCTCATAACCTACGCGAAATCTGAAGAACCTGAACGCGTAAAAAGAGAAGAGCGAAGAACAAGAAACTAAAGAATAAATTAAGAAGTTGCAATAAGAAATATTGCAAGTAAAAGGGCAAAGCCATTAGAATTTCTTGAATTATGTTGTAATAATTATTGTAAGCCCCTACGTTAGTATAAGTTTCCCCTAAATTGTTAAAGATATAATAAGTTTGTACCAAGCCCCTTTTTAATTCGTTAAGATAGCAGAAGCTATAAAAGCATTGCACTTTCGCTCATGTAAGAGGACATCCTCCGGGATTCCAACAAATCCTCCCTAATACCTTTAATAAATCACCCTGATAAATTTATTTTCAATAAAATAATTTATTGTCAAATCACCAACGTCACGCCTCTGGCGAGTTGCCATATATTGTAAATTCATATGTTTTTGTGTATAAATTAATAATAAAACCATACCATTCACCCCGTAACACTCTAAACAATAGAAAAAGCGATGGATTTATGCTGAAAATTGAATTTTTGTGGATTCCGAACTAATTTGTGTTGCGACGGAATTCTAAATTGACTCGGTTGGTTAAAGAATTAAAATTCCGCTTAATAAAAGAAAAAAACAAATTTGAAATTCTTGTTCATCAAATCGCAAGTCTTAAAATGACAGAATTACAATAATCATAAAACCTTTATATTATTACACGAGATTTCTGTACTAAAGTTTTTCGATATCCTATTGGAACTGCTAAAGATCATTGGGTCAAAAAACATTCAGCTTACAAATTTTTGAATATTGACAATCAAAATATCGGTATGTTCTGCTAACAAAATATGTCATACTTTGTAGTGTTTTAAAACATATTGGTTCTTCGAAACTATAGGATGCGGTATATAATTTAAATTTAAAATCATATTTATTTTTTTAATTTATTTGTAAATGTTGAGAATATACTGTAATTAGTTTCAAAATTATTCATTAAAGAATTGAACAACCTATATATAGGGACGTTATGGTCCGTCCTGGTCCGGTTTTGGTTCAAAAAAACCAGGTCCAGGTGCAGACCGTGTAGTGTTATGAATCAGAGCAAAAAATGTAATCGATTAGTTAGTTGAAAAATCGATTACAAATCGATTTTTGCTAAATATCTGATGAAAATTTTATTAAAAAGCTAATTAGCTTTCTCAAAAAGCTCTTTCATATTTGTGCTATGGTTTTAGCCGTTCAAATCAAGAAATTGTTAATTTTAATTAGAATCATTATCATTTTTTGAAATCATTTTATATTGATCTCTATCTTGATCTTGATCCTTATATTAATCCTAGCGCTCCGCTATACTCTGCTATATACGAACAAATATCGTATTGCATAAAAAAAACTGCTCATGTGATTATTGCCGTTAAGTTCAACTACCCCAGTATTGCTTGGTCAAATTTGCAGATCACTTGGCCGTTTCAAACGTTCTGCAATTTGACCAGAGTTAGTTTTAAAGATCGGCATGCTCAATTAAAAAATTTTTATCCAAAGATCTGCCGTGTTTTTAAAAACAGATCTCCTCGAGTGATTTCAGGATTTACAGAAGAAACAACCGACAAAAGCAAGATTTAGAATCTCATAAGGTAGTTTTTGTAGTAGTTAAATCCCTTTTCCTTCAGATTGCCTATTACGAGTTCGTCTACGTTACTTGTTTTTCGATAAGTGAAAAAGTGTTATTTTATGGAACAATGTAGCGTAAGATGGCTTTGCTTTAATAGATTATAAATGATGGTATATGGTTTGTTTGATATCCGGGGATAATCCAACTGTACCTTTTAAGGCCCCCTTCGTTCTGGACTCCTTGGTACGGTCACCTAAACTATTTTGTTTTGAAAGATATAGCAAGGGGGGTGTATCTTAACCAAAGCAATATAGCGAGGGTGATTTCAAGCAATACCATGATTAAGAACTGGAAGCGCATCGTGGCCGCAGAATTATCTGTGAACGTCCTTCTTAGTCACCCATTATTTTATAATTTTATTTGGCAAAGATCGTTTTGATTCCGCAGAAGGAATACAATCTGAAGTTTCTACGTTTTTCTATTACTCATAAATTCTACTTGATGAACATTTTCATTAATTAATTTATTTTTTTATTACCGATAGTTATTTAGGAGAATCAAGAAAATAGAACGATTGTGAACAGACATAATCAAGTGATATTGTTTATCGTAGTTGTGTAAAAACAGTGTTCTTCGCTTCGCTCCGTTCCGAACAATAAAAATTAATTTAAATAAATTATTAAAATTATTTTTATTTTTTACAAACTAAACGTTAGTTTAGATTAATTTTAAATCTATTTTGTAATGTTAAATTTGACGACCATTAAAGTAGATCGTTAATTCTTCAGAAAAAACTAATTAATTGTCAACTCAGCCAACTAAACGATTAACGATTCATATCACTAAGACCGTGGACCAGACCAAGGTTTATAAACTGGTCTACTACTGTACTAAACCAGTTCTAATTCAACCTGGTTCTAAGATCGGTCAGCTTTATCTAATAGGTGTGCAAATTTAGACATGCTTCTGACTCTACAAGAAAATATATAATAAAATAAAATAAATCGAAATTATACAGTATGTTGCAAGAGGATCTAAATATAATTAATAACTATAAATTTAAGATATTTCATCGACTTTTATTATCTTTAGTGAAAAAAATTGTTGTAAATACCACTTTTCACCATCAGAATTCAGTTGCCTGTTTTGGCAAGCATGAACAGTATCAAATATGAGCCTACCGGACTACAGGGAAGTCTTTATCTCCTGATTTAATAGAATTTTCAATGTGTATATTTTCTCGAAGTTGTTTAAACAATTTGTTAAGAAAGTCGTTATGACAGGTCTTTGAAATGTAAATGTTATATACTTATGTATTGATATAGATTTGTTTATTGAATTATGTGATTACACATATTTGATATCCTTACTATGGACCGACTTATTAAGACCGGTCTTAATTTATAGACTGAGGACTACTTGAATCAGTTCAAAAGACTGGTTCAGACTGCGGCCTTTGCCGGACTTTAACTTCCCTACCGCTACCTATATTTTTTTTCAATCCAGTTGCAACAAAACCAATTGCCATTAATAATTTCTTAATCGTTTGATGTAATTTCAATGACCAGCCTTCCCGATAAAGGCTTTAATTAAAATTTTCTTTGATGCCTAACCCAAATTGGATAATATTCCTTCAAAGTTAGAAGCGTGCAAAAAAAGTTTTTACAACACAAATCGCTGCAAATGTAAAAACATAAAATTGCCTCGCGGAAGTGACTTTCATCCCAATAATCACGCTTGTAATGCTGTAATTAATGTAGCTAAAATACAGTATACATACAGTAAATAGCTTTGCGATGTACTGTATTGCGAATTTAAACACTTTTAAGTGGATTCAGATTCAAGTTAGTTCAAAATTCTTTGACGCTTTGAGTGGATTTAAAATTTAGTTTTTCAACTTAAGTGTATTTAGAATCAACCTATATTGATTCTAAATATATATATGTTAATTGATATTTTGTGTTGATTAAATATACGTACCAAATAAAATTGTTTTATATACGCATACGTATCATGGCGAATTTATGAAATTAAACTAAATTCGGTCACCAGAACCAAGTATTTGGTTCAAATTTCTACGTATAATCTATTTCTATAATTTGATTGGTGCAACTTCGCGTGCTCCGCTTTAGACGACCCCAAAGGTCCAAAAAATTTTTCGAAGTTTGTTGAGTGAATTAAGTGGTAAACCTGAAAGGCTTCATCGACATGTTCTTCGGTGCAGTGATTATTAATTAAAAATGTTGAGAAGGCAATTTTGTCTATATAAAAACACCTTGAACCCTAGCCTACGTAACTGTGGGTTAAAGTGACCCTAAATTTAATTCAATGAATCTACTCCACTTTAGGCATCCCCAAAATAAGAAAAACACAAACCCAAAATTATAATGATGTCGCATCTGACGATTGACATTTGAGGCGATTCATTTGCTTTTGTCAAAAACGCTTAATAGAACGTTCTAGAATTAAAAAATATTAGATGTTAATCGAAATATATCCAGAAACATCTACATAGTTCTGTAATTACTGACCGATCAAGTAATACGGTATCAATATAATTACCAAATATTCACGGAACTAGATATTCATTAAACCTCACCCGCCGAAAGTCTTAATACTGACAGAATATCAATGGATACTGACCAAAAGCATACAGAAAGGTCCGAAGAAGAGCTTAAGAAAGAAGCTATCAAAGAAAAAGATCTTGGTAATGAAGCATATAAAAAACGAGAATTCGAAAAAGCATTACAACATTATAATAAAGCCTGGGAATTGGATCCTACTAATGCTTCTATTTTGACTAACAAGGCGGGTGAGTAAAGTTTTGCATTTTATCATTAGATTATTTTTGTTATTAGAAATAGATAATAATTTATATAATTTATAGCTGTATTGTTTGAGCAAGAACATTATGAAGAATGCATCAAAATTTGTGAACAAGCCGTCGATGTTGGTCGTGAACATCGCGCAGACTTTAAATTAATTGCTCGGTAATAATAAATCAATATATTTTGACTTGTTAATTACGTCCACAATACTAGCTTAACTTATTCTATTTCAAAATATTAAAGTGCCTACGGAAGAATAGGCAACGCTTATGTTAAACTTGACAAGCTTGATGATGCAATTAAATATTACGGCAAGTCATTAGCTGAACATCGAACACCCGAAATACTTGCCAAATCTAACGAAATTCAAAAGTTGAAAGTCAAACGTGAAAAAGAAGCATACTATAATCCAGAGCTTTCTGAAAAAGCTAGGGAAGCCGGAAATGAACTTTTCAAAAAAAATGACTTTGCAGGTGCCGTGCAACAATATACAGAAGCGATTAAACGTAATGAGAATGATCCCAAATCTTATAGTAATCGCGCAGCTTGTTACACGAAATTAATGGCATATCAAGAAGCATTGAAAGACTGCGAGACTTGTATTAACCTTGATCCTACTTTTAGTAACGTATTCATTCATATATTTAGTTTTAATTGATATGAATATAGGTTGCTAATACTTTTTTACTACAGTTAAAGCCTACATCAGGAAAGCAGCTGTAGAGTTCTTAAAAAAAGATTACTCAAAATGCTTGGAAACTTGTAAAACTGCAATGAATCATGATACGGGAAAAAAACATACATCGGAAATTCAAGCACAGATGAAAAAATGTAAAGAAGCAATGTATCAAAATAGCCCAGAAAGTGTGGAAGAGACAATTCGGAAGGCCGCTAGTGATCCTGAAATCATGGTATGTACATTAATGATAAATTTTATAATGAGAAAAGATTACTCTTTTTAAATTATATGCACATATTTTTACCCATTTAGAAAATCCTCCAAGATCCTGTTATGCAACAGATTTTACAACAATGCCAGGATGACCCACGTGCCTTCAAAGAGTATGTATTTATTTATTTAGTTTAACAGACACCGTGAAGTTCTGTCAGTTAATAATTGCATTTATTTTATTGTTTAGACATCTTAAGAATCCTACTGTGGCAGCGAATATTGAAAAATTGATGAATGCTGGCATTTTGAGGACCGCTTAAAAATTGAATTTTTTTTTCTTTAAGCAATATTCATCTAATATAATAAATGCCCACATACAGACCGATCGATTATTTCTACTGTAAAGATTATATATCAATTCAGCATTTCATTTGTCTTTTTAAATCAATTATTGTAAATTTTGTATAATAAAAGTGTTATAATCTCGTATTTCTCTGAGTTTGTAATATTACGATAATACTGCATATAGGAAATTGCTAATTTATACCACAGATGATTATTACCTGTAGTCAATTTGCCAATCAATCTCAGAATTAGGTGTAATAAATAAATCAATTTTGTATAACAAAAACAAAAATTTTTTTAAAAAAATCTTTATACTGTATTTCTTATGAAATCACCTTTTAAGCTCTAACAAAAAAAATTTTTTACTAAATTTTGCTATATGAGTGCTGTTAATAGGTTTTTAATGTTCAGTTGGCTTTCTGTATGCAGTTTATGGACAATCTATCATCGGAATAGATCGCCCATAGATAGTATGCAGAAAGCCAACTGAACATTGAAAGCCCGATGACAGGTTTTCTATTGACAGTGCTTATACTGTATTTTTGCAAAGATGCTAGCAATTATTATATAAAGGCACCAGGTTCTTGGATGAAGGCACTTGATAAAATATTATTAAATTTATTATATGTTATACTAGACAATCAACAATTGGAAAAGTAATGCATAATTACTATTATTGTTTGATAAAAACACTAGGCTATTAGTCAAAGATATTCGATAAAAATATTATTAAATTTATTAGACAACATATTAAATAATTAATATTACCAATAATAAAAACAATATAGTTACTGTAATCTGGCAAAAGTACTAAACAATTATTGAATAAAGGCATTAGGTTTTTAGACAAAAGTACTTAATAAAAAAGTTACTAAATTTATTATATATTATATTAGACAATCAATGACAAAAATTAATGTATAGTTATTATAGTTGTTTGGTGAAGACACTAGGCTATTAGGCAAAGTACTAGATTTTTAAATAAAGATACTAGATAAAAATATTATTAAATTTATTAGACAATATACTAGATAATTATTTAAATATAAAAATTTTTTTTTTTTTTTAATATTAAGGTGACCACTTAGGCTCTTGGCACTTTATTAGTACAAGCGGTTAGGCCATATGT